AACAATCTTTGTTTTGCTCTGGGGTTAACTTTGAGACGAAACACATCCACATCAGAGGAAGACAACATTTGTAGATATCATTTGTGCAGTCTAATTCTTGAGCTGGAGCGGCAATCCTATGAAGCATTGAAGGATTGGCCTTGGAGAGACTTGGCTACATAATACCATTATGCTGTTACACAGTTAATATTTATGTAAATGTACATGAGAATTCATATAGTTTATTCTTTCTACCATTTCCTATGGACATTTCTATAGTTAGTAATGCTGCCATCCAGTGGTCTTATTTGGTAATGTATTTGTTTTATATTGCCTCCCTGAGATCTATGACACAATTCCTTTGTATATGAAGCTCCTCCCTTCTTCTTGAGTTCAGCACTTCCTGTGTCATGGAGGTAGCTAACAGACCACATGTAACAGGGACACATGTACTCTGCATAGTACGCTACAGAAAGTATCATCTTTTGACCGCATAATACTGGAAACCAGTCATTCTGCTGTATCCTGTTGTCACATGTACAGAATAAAGCAACTTCTGGATGAACACAGTATTGATGAGTTCAAGCTATCTGATAAGGATTGTCCACAGTGATTATATCTGCTTATACAGGCTAGGCAGAGAGGTCTCACAAGGGATAAATCGCTATCACAACAATCTGAGTCAGAATAACCATGGATTATAAATATTGCAGTGTATGCAATACAACACAGAGCAATATTCTCTTATGAAGTGTGTCGGTAACATATCACCTACATTTGCTTTATATGGAGCTTTATGAATGGAGCAGTTTACATTAGTTTAAATTTATAGCAAGCACTAGAGGACTGAATCTTGCATTGCTTTCTTTATATGCTATCAAGGATTGAAAACACTCCTGTGTGTGATATATGTTGAAGCAAATTTCAATTCGAACAATATGCAGTTATAAGTACATTTTTCCAGAATTTTAAGTATGGAATATTCCACAATGTAATAGTTTGTTTTAATGGATGAAAAGTGTATATTTTTGGGTCAAACCCTGTCTTTGCAAATAAAAGTACTAGAATAGTTGGCATTTAAAAAGAGCATGAGGAGCCCAGGAGTTTGTATGTTTCTTTTATGTATATTTTAGATGTTTATAGATGCTTTCAGGGTTCATGTACACAGGGCATTTGTAAAACTCTTCTGAACGATGGAAACTGACTGCTGGAAAATGTAGGTTAAAAAACGTCAGTTTAGCCGTGTTTGCATACCCGTTTGTGTGTGTTTGCAAGTGTTTTTAAAAGATAACCTCAGGAGATCTTCCCAAATGCCCAGAATGCACTGGAAAATAGTAAATAATTAACTATTTCAGACATTTTGAGAGGAATAGAGAGAGCAGAAGCAGAGAGAGCAGTATGTGTTGCAATTACCTGTATTTTCTGGTTGTATTCGCTATGGATCCCATCATGAGCATAATGCAGCACATTCTACCATTTTTTTTCCTTCATGCGAAACCTAGAACTGACTGCGCTGGTGTACCGGGTCCATTTGAATACATGGAAAATGCTTTGCATGCATTTCTGATAATGAAAAAAGGCTTTGGACAACATCTTGACATGGAACAGTTAAAAAAAAGCTTCTAAATGTGGTTAACCGCATTTACACACGTTTGAAACGCCAGTAAAATCTACTCCTGAATGCACGTTTGGTGCTTTAAAAAAAAAAAAAACGACTATAAACTCAACTGCCTGTAAGTGACTGTAAATGACTATGTGTACATGGACACATAGGAAAACATTAGGGAGAGTTCAGGGGCTGCTGAAAAAAATGTAGAAAAGCTCCTGAAAGTCGGTTTAGGAGCTGCAGTGTACATAAGCCCTTAGACCAGCAATGGGCAAACTACGGCCCGCGGGCCGTATACGGCCCGGCGGACCTTTTAATCCGGCCCGCGGAGCTAGGCTCCTCTCATAGTCCGCCCTGAAGACCGGTGTAGCATGAAAATCTGTCTCCTATGAGGATCTGTCCCCCCTAGACGTATCTGCGCATGTGCCGGAGATCGCCGATCGGCTGCTAATGCCTGAAACTGGCACATGCGCAGATACGTCGAGGGGGACAGATCCTCATAGGAGACAGATTTTCATGCTACACCGCAACGGCGCGGGACACGGCGAGAGGAACGCGCGGAGCAAAGGTAAGTGAATTGACACAGGGGGGACTTGGGGACTTAATATGGGGGATGAATTAATATGGGGGATGAATTACTATATGGGGGATGAATTACTATATGGGGGATGAATTACTATGGGGGATGAATTACTATATGGGGGATGAATTACTATGGGGGATGAATTACTATATGGGGGATGAATTACTATATGGGGGATGAATTACTATATGGGGGGATGAATTACTATATGGGGGATGAATTACTATGGGGGATGAATTACTATATGGGGGATGAATTACTATGGGGGATGAATTACTATAGGGGGGATGAATTACTATATGGGGGATGAATTACTATATGGGGGATGAATTACTATATGGGGGATGAATTACTATATGGGGGATGAATTACTATGGGGGATGAATTACTATATGGGGGATGAATTACTATGGGGGATGAATTACTATGGGGGATGAATTACTCTTTGGGGGATGAATTACTACTGAATTACTATAGGGGGATGAATTACTATATGGGGGATGAATTACTATATGGGGGATGAATTACTATGGGGGATGAATTACTCTTTGGGGGATGAATTACTATGGGGGATGAATTACTATGGCGGATGAATTACTATATGGGGGATGAATTACTATATGGGGGATGAATTACTATGGGGGATGAATTTACTATGGGGGATGAATTACTATATGGGGGGTGAATTACTATGGGGGATGAATTACTATATGGGGGATGAATTACTATATGGGGGATGAATTACTATGGGGGATGAATTACTATATGGGGGATGAATTACTATGGGGGGATGAATTACTATATGGGGGATGAATTACTATGGGGGATGAATTACTATATGGGGATGAATTACTATGGGGGATGAATTACTATATGGGGGATGAATTACTATGGGGGATGAATTACTATGGGGGATGAATTACTCTTTGGGGGATGAATTACTATGGGGGATGAATTACTATAGGGGGGATGAATTACTATATGGGGGATGAATTACTATGGCGGATGAATTACTATATGGGGGATGAATTACTATATGGGGGATGAATTACTATGGGGGATGAATTACTATATGGGGGATGAATTACTATGGGGGATGAATTACTATATGGGGGATGAATTACTATGGGGGATGAATAAATTACTATATGGGGGATGAATTACTATGGCGGATGAATTACTATATGGGGGATGAATTACTATATGGGGGATGAATTACTATGGGGGATGAATTACTATATGGGGGATGAATTACTATGGGGGATGAATTACTATATGGGGGATGAATTACTATATGGGGGATGAATTACTATGGGGGATGTACTATATGGGGGATGAATTACTATGGCGGATGAATTACTATATGGGGGATGAATTACTATATGGGGGATGATTACTATGGGGGATGAATTACTATATGGGGGATGAATTACTATGGGGGATGAATTACTATATGGGGGATGAATTACTATATGGGGGATGAATTACTATGGGGGATGAATTACTATATGGGGATGAATTACTATGGGGATGAATTACTATATGGGGGATTAATTACTATGCTTACTATGGGGGAATATTACTATACTTACTATGGATGACACATACACTAATTCATCTACTCTTGGTCTCCAATATATGAACCCATTGCGGCCCTCAAGTCAAAAAGTTTGCCCACCCCTACCTTAGTAGTAAAACAGAAGTAATGTTTTATTAAAAGAATAAAAAAAAATACCTACTTAAAATGATATCTCTCTTTTTAGCAGTATTTTACTGCAGCTCAAAATCAGATATCTTCCTACTGGTTGCGGTAGGATGCCATTATCATCATCATTTGAGATAACCCTTGAACCTCTATACTATCAGGTTGTATTTGTTTTTGCACTTGTTTCCCTAGCCTTTGGTTCTATAATGTCTGTTGCATACTTGGTTGCTATAATGTCTGTTGCATACTTGATGCTCTACCCCACTATTTTTACGTACTGTATAAACTAACTTCTGGCTATGTTTCTGGTCTCCTTTGTCTTCTTGCTAAATATGATATAATGTTTTTCTTTGTGATTTATATATGTTTTTTCTTCTTGTTGATTCCCAAATAAAACATTTGAACAAGAAAATTAATGGGGGAGGAGGACCTGTCAAAGTCATGTGACCAACTTGTCCTATTATGTAGTGTTTTCTGCAGTGTTATGCAGAGAACACTCCATAGAACATCACAGGCTCAGTAGCACATACAGTAGCAGTATGTAATCATTTGCTAAAATGATGCTACTTATGGTCAGCTTTTTAAGAATATGATTTCCCAGGTTTTTTTTGTTTACCAGGTTGCTGTCCAGAGATTGCTTTCTGTTTTTACAAATAGCAACTTTAAAGCCACTTGGAATGTATAAAAGGGTCTCTCAACACAAATACAATTTCTGGAGATGCTGGAGATTTGAATCTTTCACCAGTGTCTCATATTTATATAGAATTCTAGTGTAGAGATTTACATATCCAGCTTTGCCCACCTGCCGCAACAAAGTATAGGAGTCTTACTCACCTTATTGGAGATTTCTCTCTCACGATGACAAGAGAAAAAAAAAGTGTCCAAGGCATGAAGGATTTAGGCAAGAATGTTTGCAGATATTGCTGTTAAAGACCCTAAAGATATCATAATGGCCACCAATGTTCACTTCTAACAGAAATATCTATTTGGTGTATACTGACCCTTATGACAACTCATTCATTCCATTGTCCATTCTCATTTTCCTCTTGCCACCCATCCAGTTGTTTCATGGAAAATTATCTGCAGCCCATAAACCAGTATGACAATTTCCAATATATTCATTACAGGGCTGGACTGATACTGAAGCTGATATCAGTAGTGTGAACTCCAGGCCAGCCAGTAGGCAGGTTTCCTATGAAATGGGCAAAGACACCACTGAGCTTAGTGACATAAAATCCAAAACTAAGCTGAAAAGTCATGATTCTGGAATTTTTGAAAAGGTAATTGTGCATATTGAAATTTTTTACAGTTTTATTTTAAAAGGTACATTTCAGTTATCTATTAGGGCCTATTCCCTTTTTATTGGTGATGACCAGTTTACGTTCTGTGTTTACGTTTTGCTTTGATTTATAGTTATGACTTCACAAATGCAATGATTAGATGTTTTACACAATCTGTTCTTTTATGCATGGGTGCCATAACCATTTATTTTCAAAATTATGTTACCATTTGTACCTCAGTAATACTTTGGTTGTATTTTCAACTACTTGCATTGCTTATTGTAATGTGATATTTTTTATCGAACAGTAAAAATTACTTTTAAATATGTTCTAGACCTCCATGGATGCAGATGACATATCATTGGTAGAAATTGGTTCATCAGATCGTAGCTCTCCTCTTGCAGTAAGTATATGCTAAATCATAAATGTTTCTAGAATCTAGGTATACAACTTGAAGGACACGACGAGATTGCTCCTCTGTGGGCAATCTTCCCCTTATAAGCCACCGTTGATCTTCCAATAGCACCTTAGATTTATCTTGGTTACCATGTGCGTGTATATATGTTTTAATAAACTACATGTTATCTTAATAATCGTGCTGTACTATGGTCATCTTTGTGGTTTGTCAAGCTTTACCCACAGAGCCAGCTACATTGATATCAGGTGCTATTGGAAGATCAGTGGCGGCTTATAAGGGGAAGATTGCCCACAGAGGAGCAAGCTATGTGTTATCCCCACTAAAAGGGGAGATACCTATCTGATCTGTCATCATATACAGGTCCATGCGAGAAGGTGAGGGTCCACCTGGATCTCTATGTTCACTGTGGTGATGCACTTGTATTGAGGATTTACAGCACTGGGATTTTGGGTGCAGTCACCATTAGGAAGATGCTCTCCTCCATCTGGATTATTTGAAGAGTTTTTTTTCCATTATTATTTGTGTGGACTGTGTCACGTTGGAATTGTCTTTGGATTATTTTATTGTTCATTTCACATCATTGATTTCGAGCAGCGCAACACCTTGTATACTTTTTTATGGGAACACACAACACGTGTTTGCAGCAGCTCGTTATATAGGTTAGCCTTTACATATTTTTCTTTGCACTTTGGCAGCGCACAATTTTATTTTGTTTTGTATATATTTGTTTATAATATTCTTTGATTTTATATATATACTATATTCTACTAGACACTGAAACTCTGTACCCTCACTACTACCTCTAAGACCTTTATATACGCTTTACCATCTCTTCTTCTTCTTCCTAGATCTTGATAAACTCTGTACCCTTGCTTCTTCCTCTTACAACCCAATAAACTCTGTAACCTTGCTGATACATTTTACACCTTTAGAAAACTCTGCAGTCTGGTTGCCTCCTCCTAGACCTCACATTCTGTACACTTACTGCTTCTTCCTAGACCTTGATACATTTTGTACCATCACTGCTTCCCCTTAGACATCAATAAAGTCTGTACACTCACTGCTTTCTCTTAGACCTTGATAAATTCTTTTAACCCCTCCTCCATACAACTGCCTACATTACCACAGAGGAATCATCGTTATAGTGCATACTGAATAAATAAAGTACACACAAATGTTATTTATTAAACAATATTAAGTCATTTTCTGAAAACTTTTTCAATGGGACAGACCTTAGGCACTTGCAATTTTTACAGTACTGGTATTACTAATAGTGGCTGGGGCAATTTCTTTTAAGGCAGATTACACCACACAGAGGATCCTGCTACTTTCTCTCCTCACGTCATCTCCATAGAGGATGCATCCTGGGGAGGGGGGACATGGCCAACAATGCCATATTATCCCTGGGTGGAGAAAACCAAACACTGGCCATATGGCATGTTTTCATCAGCAGACTATTTGGAGATATCAAAAAGAATAACCTTACTCTACTTAGGCCTTTATTGAACTGCAACATAAACCCTTCATACTCTGTCATGCTTTTTCTTAAAAGGACAAAATGCACAACATTCTCTTAATAGCCCCCTATCAATTCTCTATATAGCTAGCTTTTTCCATATGCAGTTAATTTTGCCTAAGCTTAAAAATATATATTTTGCCTTTGTTTCTTCTAAAATCGAAGTGCTCTTCATGTGCCTAGGTAATCCTATGCCTTTAGTTGTATATTTGAAGTCTAAGATCATCTAAGGTATTGCTGCCTCTAACTGCTAGTCTCACAAGAGTGAGAAATTTGGTAATATCACTACTATACTGCTCACTCCCTGCTTTAGAGAACGCTGTGCACAAGGATCTGCAGTGCAAGGATTTTCCTGCTTCTTCTTTATTCATCCTGTAGAGCTGTGCCTCCTGTTCTTGCTACATCTTCACTATTCCCCTTACCAGTTATTTATGAGATCAGTCATCAGGGGACCAGCTCTAACAAGAGGAAACAAAACAAAGCCCTGCTCCTCTACCAAAATGGCCACCTCTACACAGAGACATAGGAGCTGAGGCAAATAGAGGCAAATAGGATATTCACTTTGCAAGGAAAGTTGAATTTTCCCCAGAGCTTAGTAAGTGTGGTGAAATTTCACTTTGTAAAGATTACCCAATCATATGCAAAGAAAATTAAAAAAACATTTTGCTTGAACATGGTTTGATTATGGAAGTCAGCAGAGCTCCCTTGGAAAGTGAACAGTCTATAGTTGCCTTTGATAAATCAATCCCAAAGTGTGAAAAGGGCTAGGTAATTTAGTAATGGGGAAAAAAATCAAGTGCAGGGAGACCACAGACATTGCCAGTTACTGGTGCTTTGCCCTCTTTTGGCTTAATTCATGCCCTCTTTAAGATCAAACAAACATTCATAAATCAAGTCCACAAACCAAAAAAATCCTTTTGCATATTTCAGAGTGTAGACTTGCTATTATGCAGTCATTTAAATAACCTACAATGGCTAAATGGTTAGCACTTCTGCCTGGCAGTACTAGGGTTGTTGGTTCGAATCCCAACCATGGCATCACCTGCCTGGAGTTTGCATATTCTCCCTGTGCCTGTGTGGGTTTCCTCTAGATACTCTGGTTTCCTTCCACACTCCAAACACATGCTGGGAGATTAATTGGATCCTGTCTAAATTGACCCTAGTATGTGTATGTATGAATGTGAGTTAGGGACTTTAGAGTGTATGCCCCTTGAGGGTTAGGGACTGATGTGAATGTACAACATATATGTAACTGCTGCATAAATTGACAGTGCTCTATAAGTGCCTGTAATAAGAATAATTTTGCAGTATATAAGATCTAATTACTAATGTGTTTTCTTTACTGACAAACCTTTTGTTCTCATTTCACATTAAAGACAGGTAGAAGTTTCAATGGCTTTGGACAAAGAAAGGGAGACCCTATCTCCCGTGTAGCTGCATCACGAATACCCAGTATCGTAGTGACCTACAGCAATTACCAAGGCAACCAGGCAGCAGTAGAACATAACTCAACCCTGCCCTGTCACAGGACCAGTGTACCAAAACATAATACAATCACCACCATCATTACAGAAACCATACCTGAAAATAGCACGGAAACATCGACAAATCAGTTATCACCAAAAAATTCATGAAGAAAAAGTATGTATGGGTTGAGTATTCACTGTGCCATCATTTATTCTGGTTACTATACACAGACCATGGAAAAAAGTAGTTCTGAATGTAAGGCAAATGTACCATTCCATACCATCAATGTATTCCACACATGTATCCATCTGAAGTGACTGAATGTTCATACTGAAACTATTTATATGCCAGGAGTTTTCTTCCTTTTTTTTTTTTTTTTTTTTTTTTTAGACAGAACTACAGATGTCTTTGATTTTCTAGCATTTGTAGAAGAGAAGTTGATAGAGTAATTAAACTGACAAAATTTAAAGCGTGTGAAGGAACCGACAGAATTAATTTACACAGTATAATTCCCAATGTTTAAATTTCATTTGAAATGTATACAGTATTTATACTCTACAAATATATTGGATCAGTAGAAATGGCAGAAATTATACTGGCTGTTGAATATGAAATACCAGAATGTTACAGTAAAAAAAAAAAAATAAAAAAGTAAAAAGCTATTAAATAAATACTATAGAAATAAAGAATTTAAAGAATAACTCTGGGCAAAACAAAAAGAATTTATTAACTAATGTGTTCATCCTTTATTTTTTTTTATCACAAATGCGTTTTTCTACTCATTCGTGGTAGGACACTGAAAAAACTTCTCCTGCTCACATGACAGTGTTCAGGTCTGGTAATTATCTGCCCCGCCTCATGTATATTGCATGCAATGAGAAGCACACATCTCAATATCCACCTTCGGTGGAGAATAGAACAAATGTATTAAAAAATGCAGCGCTGAAAGGAAACAAAAATATATCTAACGTGGGCGCTTATTAGAGCTATAAGTGTTCAGTAGGTATATAGTGAACCATCATGTAATGACATATAAGCAAGTGATAATGAATAAATATAAAGTGACTTTAGTGTATGATGAATGATGACATAAAATCAGCAAGATAAAGTCCAAATTTCAAGTGATCCATGTTGGTGAAATCCGTGATTGAAACCGGTCATTTGGCACACGGTCAGCATACAAAGCAACTCCAATCTCTCTCACAGGACCCTCTCAGCATCCATGGACAGCTCCAGGGAAACCTCAGACTGCTGGATAGACAGCTCACAAAAGTAAGGATCTCTCCACCGAGGAGGCTTCTTAATGACAAGCCAAAAACAACGAGGTGCTAATAGTGTAGGAACTTTATTGAAAATAGGGAATACAGTGTATTAGCAGATCAAAAAAATTTATCAGCACTCACTCCAGGAACAGTTAAAATGGCCGCTGGCCTTCCATGCAGCTGTCTGCGGCGTGACGTCACTACGGCAGGCTCCTACCTGACGTGTTTCGTGCTCGAGCACATTATCAAAGGGATATGCCTGCCATTTGATGTCCGCAACTTATATAGTCTCGTGCCCATGCGCGAACAGGCGCCATATTAGCATAACACGCATGCGCAAAAGGGACAAAACAGTGGGGGAGACTCATGTACATTACCCACTATTGCGAAAAGGAAGCTATCCAATATTCATGTTAATAACCAGTTAAAAAGCAAAAATAGGAAGAAGACTGAATCTTTATCT